TTAACAGTCTGCTGAGGAACTAGAAAGTGTCCGAGTAACACATGCCACATGACAACCAAGATGACAACTGTTCAGAGACTAGTCAGACCTGAAACCAGCTGGGAACCGCAACTAGTCTCAAAGCACATGAGCCCACTGGCATTCCTGCAGTTTTAACATTTATTCCAAGCAAAGTCAAATGCCCAAGTTTAACAATTCTCATTAACACTGGCCTCTAGCATATACAACAGTTTACTTAAGGCATAATTCAAAACAAAGGAGGAAGCTCAAAATTAGAATGGAAATAAAATCAAAATAGAATTACCACTTTAGTTTCCCATTTCTGATGCAATCTGTGACCAGTTGCTAATTCTAAAGAATGGCAGTTCTATCCCAACAAGTGGCTCCTTGAAAAGAGGGGGGGCAAACCCCTTTGGTAAAGATTACAGCCAAGAAAATCCCACGGAGCAATTCTACACTCACCTACATGTATTCACCAGGAGTCAGAATCAAGTTAACTACCATCAGTTTGTTTTCCAACAAATTATCAAAACATAAGTAATACAGGTGTCACTTATGAAGTAGTAGAATTTTCTCCAGCGATTAGCTGTGCAGCGAGCATGCTGTGCCTGTATCTAAAGCTACTATTTCATTTTCTTAGAGCTACTTCATTATGTTCAAAGAATCACATTCAATTACAAAGCTACACAGTTACCCACATCTGATCCCTCTAATTCCTGGCACTGGAAGAAGCACTCCAAAAAGACATTTGCCATACTATCTAGCCAACTTTTCCAACTGCAGTTTCTCACGGCTATGCTAAATGGTCAAACTGAATAGTACTTGCTTTAAGATTACAGGTTGTTGCTCCTTCATGAATTGTCTGTATGCCAACAAAGATTAGATTCTAAGGATGACTTATAATTACAGAACCCAAAATAGGAGAACTAAACAACTTACCAGGTGAAAAGTCACAAATGCTTCCTTCCCTCTGTCAGAAATCTCTATCCACTGCCGAAATGTACCTAGTGTCAATTTTTCTATGAATTGGCACAGGATAATAGTAAAAACTGGCTCACATGTCTTGAACCAAACTTAATTTTCATTCAAGGTTTTATCTGCTTAATAAACATAAAAAAATTAGACTCTGACCTTACTGATTAAGTAATTTACAAGACTTCAGAACTGCCTTTTTTTTTTTTTTGCTTCATATCCAAAAATCTAAAATGTTCTGCTCAACATACATCAGACTGTGACCACACTTAACATACTACAGGAAAGGAGATTCCTTCTAGACATGAGAAAGACATGAAATAAAGTAATAAACCACTTTTGCTTTGTTATAAATTTATATTTTCCCTTCCAGAGAGAATAATACAGTAGTAGAACAGAAGTAATATAAACTCTTAAAATGTATAAAAAGAGTAGCTTAACATTCACAAAACTCAACCCTAAAACTCAACCCAACATTATCCTACCATCTTTTTGGCAACTTTCATACTCAATGATACTATTAAAATGGGGAGCAGAAGTGATAAACAAGAAAACAAAACAGTCAATTCTCCTTTTTAGGATCTCTTGCAAAGTGTGGTGGCAAGTATAACTGAAAATGGATGTGGGTTTAATTTAAAGGGGCACGACATATAAGTTACTTTAAATGAGAAGGTAAAAAGTTTTTATTTGAAATTTATGGAAATGCAGTGCCACCTAACAAAGATGGCTAGCACAGAATGTAATGTTTTAGCATAACCCAAATTACATAATCACCCATGGTCCTTACATATCCTATTAAAAAAAAAAAATTATAATTCTTCACTGACAAAGGCTTTGGTGTTTATTTTGTACCTTAAAGCACTTTTAAGGAACATTAACTAAATAGATGGATTAAAGTAACATCTACTTGAAAATACAGCAATGCATCTATCTGTTTTGACTTTTTCATCAATACAGCACCAAGTATGACACAGAGAAAACATAGTCTAAAATGCTGGTCCTAGGAGCACACTCAAATCTCAAACACCTAGGATCCATTTCCAACACCACCGCTTATTTGCTGCAGGACACTGGAAACACAAGCCTGTTACTACTCCATGAAACAAGGACAATAATTTTACCTACTTCATCAGATTATTCTAAGGAAAAATCATACATACACTGCACAATATAAAGAACTCAAAACACTGATGCTGAAATATTTAGAGGAAAGTGTACTGTTATCTGCAATTTACTCTGAAATACATGCAAAAAAAAAAACCAGACTGAAGGTGGTTTAGAAACACATAAAATACATATAACTAAACTAGTACAACAGCAACAACTGTAAAATTTAGGTATTTATCTCACTACCATCGAGTCAGCTGTAGCCCACAGTTTCAGCAGATTTCTAAGGCTGTAAATCATACAGGAGACTGCAGTGTAACTGGTGGAAACAGAGACAGAGACAATGCTGTATAGATGCCATTCTCCTTTTATCTTCCAATTAAGTTTATTCTCAGAGCATAGCGCATGTAGCAAGCACTCAGTTAAGGTCTGTTAAAGTGAACTGAACTGATTATCTCATTCTTTGTAGAGGGAAAAGCAGGATCAGAACTGTTACAGAACTTGGGAAGAAGCATAATTGTTCCAACGCCACTACTTCATCAAGTATTTGATTGATTTTGCCATCCCTGGAGAGAGTTCGATTTCTATAGTAGATGTACACTTTCAACCTTTCTGATATTTTTCATAATAAAATAATGCTGGCAGCTTAGTGGTTAAAACATTTGGCTGTTAACCACAGCCAAGGTCAGTGATTCAAATCTACTAGTTGCTCTGTAGGAGAGATGAAGCAGCCTGCTTCTGTAAACATTTTTTTTTCTTTTTATTATTTTAATAATTTTAATGAATATTTACAGATATTTTGGATTTCCATTCATTCATTGCTGCACTTCTCTCCCCGCCCAGCCCCTCCGACCCCCGCCAGTTCACTCCTCTCTTTGAAAAGAAAAACTCCCCCCTGGTACACAATCCCCCCTCCCACCCTTCCCACCGCCCCCAAGTACATTCCACCACGCAACCTTAACTGTGGACTCTTGTGTGCTTCTGTAAATTTCTAAAGCCTTGAAAACCTATGAGGAAGTTCTCATCTGTCCTATAAATAAATTCTTTTTGAGATAAAATCTACCAAATGGCAGTGGGGTGACCAGCGAATGCATAGTTTGCTTTTATCATCACTTACTTGTCAGGAAAAAAGACCCCTGGTAGTGTTATGGGCTGCAAAGGAACAAACAGGTAAGTCTAGAGAAAAATGCAGCTAGAATGTTCCTTGGACACTAGGCTGGTGAAGCTTTCTTTGGAAATGCTACTAATAGAGGCTATTCCTCGGAAAGGGGGCATCATGCTTGGAAAGGTGGATGGTCGGTAAAAGTGAGCAAGACCCTCAACAAGATGGAATGACACTGTAACTAAAGCAATGGTCCCAACTACATCAGATAATGAGGACAGCACAGAATAGGACAGGGTTTCCTATGTGTCCCAGAATTACCATGAGTGGTACTCTACTCGATGGTTTTATCGAGTAGATAAATTTATCGGGTGCTCCCTGGAAGACAGAAGTAGTTTCCTCTTCAAAAGATCTGAAGATTTGTAAAGATTCCTTCAGAAAGACAATTTTGGGTTCACCATGAGTCAGAACCAACACAAAGGCAGTGGGCACTTATCAGAAAGAATTGCCAGCAAACAGAGAAACTGGGGTGTTTGGGTGCCAGCTGTTTCCCCTTTTATTTTATCTACTCTGAAACTCCTTAGCCAGTACAGAATGTATGTGATTTCAAAGTAATTTATTCTAAGGTACCAACTGGCCAGTATTTCATTTTTCCTGAAGAAACACAGAAATCAAGTCAACAGACAGTTAAGACTGATGATTTGAAGCAACAAACCACAGAAAAGTAAAGACTGAAATTACTTGTCCCTAACTTTTTCCAAGTAGCTGCTAAAGTCAAGAAGTACCTGAACCAGAAGCACTCTCATTGCTTTTCACCTTAATGTACCCGTGATGTTCACGGTGTATGTACACAAATATTAACATCCACTGCAGGGTGGTATTCAACTCTTCCTCTAGTTTTGTTCTTTATTCTTATTCACAGGTGTTAATGCCCTTAGTGCCACAACCACAACTTAAGACCTCATGCAGTTATGACAATTTAAAAAATCAGGAAATCGGTGCTCAGCTCTTGTCAGGCCACTTGAGACAACAGAGGAACAATTAGGTCTGTGTCCTGTAAGCCTGTCCATTTGTAGTAATACCATTAAGTCTTGTCTACTCATCTCCATGGCTCCATATTGCTCAAGATCAGAAGGAGTGTTTCAGCTTCAAAAAGAGCAAACACTGCTCCTGCTCTACCAGTTCTGGGTCAAAGCAGAAAGGAACTCGGTCACCTTTAGTCCGTCTCATCTTTAAAACAAGGATAATTCCTACCTGTGTATCTCACGAGGTTATGAGGGCAAAAGTGACATCATGTATATAAAAGCAGCTTTAAACTGTCAAGCACGAAAGAAACTTAAGTTATGATGTTTCTAACTACTTTCATATGGAAATTCACAAAGCTCCTGCCACTTCTTGCATGCTTCACTTCATTTTAACGCTCACATTATCTCCCCAACATCACCTTTCTTTCTTTCTGTCATAAACTGAAGGGTGGCACTGGAGGGATTTAAATAACGTCAAGCATTTCAACAACTCCAAACGCAAACGGAAACTATTTCACAAGTCCTCTCTGACCAAAGCGTGGGCCTGTGAAGGCTTGAGACTACACTTCCCACAAAGCATCGAGGCTAACTAAGCCAGGCAGCAGGCGGGGCAGCCTGAGAGTCAGGGTGACCACTGCTCTCCCCGAACGTGGATCACAATCCCGTGAAAACTGCGTTTATGTACAGACGCTGCTGTCTGAAAGCGCTGTCACTCTGTGGTTTCTCCTCTAGTTAACGCCATCACTCTCTTCGTCCTCCCTCCACCTGAAGGGTCACTGCCTATTCCTGACCTTTCAACTGATTTCTAGGGTGTCACATGAAGACATCTTCACCCACTCTCCGAAAGCCCCATTTCTAGAGATGGTCTCAGAGATGGGGTCAGTCGCCACGGCGGGGTCAGATGGGACGGGCTGACACTGCCCGCCACCCCGACGTTCTGGTCCCCGCGCCGGGCCAGGCGCCCGGGGGTAGGGGGCTGGGCTGCAGTGCCCCCATCCACCCCGGGTTAGGGCGGATCGCGGGCAGAGGTAGCTCCGCCTGGGGTTCCAGTTTCAATTTCGCAACGTGACGGTGCAAAGCTGAGGCCTACAAACGCCGGCGGCGGCGTCCCGCCCGCCC